AGTAGGGAATTATACAGATCATACAAATAAATGCATATAACCTCAGGGGCAATATTTCTGCCCAGGCTTGTGACTAACTTCCTGGTGTTCGTATTGGTTTTCTCTCTAGAATGGAACCTGGGCAACTCTGAAGCCCATTTGGATCTGAAATGGTGAAGTTAATCATAATCAAGTTTTACCTTTCAGTTTCCTTTAGAACAAGATGATAAAAAGGAAGCAAATGCACCTGACACTGTTCTCAATAATTGAATTTTTTTAGAGGTGTTTTATGTATACACATCATATATTTTACATTTTCCCATGCAAAGAAACCTTTCTTTACAACCCATGCAAAGAAAGGTTGTTTTCTGAGAACTCACAGAAAATATGGTTTATATTAACCACAATGCTGAGCCAATTAAAGTGTTGCAGTTTAACCTGCTTTTCATATGGCTTATCCATGTATTGCCTTAAAAAATAATGCTTCATGAAGTCTTCAGGCAGTCCAGAGAAATTTTTCATTAAAAGTTTTTAGTCTAGATGGCAATTTAAGATCAGATCGTTTATAAGTAATTTATGTTTTACTATACACTAAAGTGTTATGGAAATTACAAAATTAAGTTATTGTTGAAAAAAACACAAAGAAGAATCTCTTACAAAGGAGAATCTTATAAGGAAAACTTCGTTAAGGGCTTCTATTAGGCCTATTTAATGATGTGCAGCTGGACACCATATAGTCAGGCTGTGTCAGCAGACAGTTTTGTCTTGCATCAAACTAGAATGTACTTTTAAAAATTTCATAATACTAAAATGTAAAATTGATACTGCTAAAGAACTACTTTTCTGTGTTGATACATATTCCTGTCACTGCAAGCTGAGACATTTCTTTGACAGAACCTTTTCTAGGGAACTTCATGGGGAGCTCACTCTCATAGCTTGCAACAGAAGAACTCTGGATACTGCAAAGAGCTGCCCTAAAGAAAGAGCTTGGGATTTACCCAAAGCAGCACTGGTTGATATTCTGTTTGTTTAATTTATCCAGTTTATGCTGAGCACCTGGCAGGACTAAGCAGTATATGGAGATTTATTTTCCCCTACATACTCAGAATAGGAATTCAATATCAGTTTTTAGCTTCAAAACCTTACCTGAATTGTTCTTTCTCCCTTAGCGTAGATCTCCCACTGTCTCCCAAAAGACCATATAAGATTAATTACTATTATTTGTTAAATCATGGAGTTAACATTTTTATTGCCTCTTGATTGTCAGTCTTTATTTCCAATTTTACCTAGTAGAAAATCCTTAGTGGTTATTTTAACATCTGTCTTTTGATTTCAAGCAATATGTAATTAGGGAACACAGGAAAAAAAAAAAAGTAGGGTGAAAACGGAAGAAGTACAATTGACTGAAAATAAAAGTGCCTCTAGACCTTCAGAGTCATCAGTGGAACAATTTGTAGTGCCATAATGCTTATGTTCATATTTAATTACTTTATTTAGATGTTGTTTTCCATGTGGTTCTTTCATAAATGTAGTGGAATAAAGGAGGAATTACCTATATGTAGATTTATAAATTACGGAAGAAATTTGAAGAAGGAAATCTCTATATAAGTGATTTTCTGTACATACCTCTAATATTTAAGTATTTGAGGTCAGTGAACTTGCTACTTTTATAACATTGTGTGTTATAGTAGCTGCTAACCAATAGTTCTAAAAAAATGCAGATGGCTAGATTGCCATCTGTACTTTTGGGATTCTGCATTGAATATGTTATTAACCTTCTGTCATCACTTTATTCAAAATAAGCTTTTTTTCCTCTACTGCAAACTTTTCTTGTACCCCCAGTTCTTCCCTTCATTTCTTTCCTTGCTTGGAAACCTGGTAAGGAATGTGAGGTTTTATAGACATCTTACTAGTCTTTTTTTCTTTAAGCTTTTGTGGTGGATGAAGGAAAACACATTGAAATTTTACGTTTTCATACCTTTCATGTTACAAAAAACAGATTTCCAAAATGGCTGGGTTTGAAAGACTGGAACAGATAATTAATTCATAAGTGGGTGTTGAAGTGGAAACTGTCAGGCCACAGCTTTCCCAGCTTTCACTTAATCATCTGAAAGTCGTTTTCTGTTGTTTTCACTGACTGTAATCCCTTAGAGAAAATATAAAACTTGCACCATCATCCAGCATGGAATTCCACTCCTTTAATGACTTGGGCTCTGTGTTGACTCACTTTCACTCACTGTTGTCATTTCATACAGGAAAAGCCATACCAATGTTCTGAATGTAACAAGGCTTTCAGTCAAAAACGAGGCCTAGATGAGCACATGAGAACCCACACCGGAGAGAAGCCGTTTCAGTGTGATGTGAGTTGATCTATCCCTTTGTTTTCTTGATTTCAGTGCAGGAGCAAGGCTTATCTTCGGTGAGAATATGGCCTTGCATCCATTAGCTGTGGCATAAAGTTACCCGTAATAGGGTCTTTGCCTAACTCATGAAAGACCATTCTGGTGAATTTTACGTATCCTCTGCTGTTGCCAAGAGCATTGCACTCACTTTTTAAATCGTTTTGACTCCCAAAAGTGCTATTTTCACTGTTCTTAATGCGATTTAGGTATTGCAAGTTACAAATTCATGCTAGTTGGGTTTCCCTTTGATTGTTTGACAGGTTAATAGATGGAAAGAGCAGCTTATACAGAAAAAGTTATAAAAGACATTACATGGAATCTGAATGCTTCTGATGTTCAGTAACACAAGTATAAATTTAGAATTTCTTATTTTTGTTTAATGAAATCTGGTGTGTTATTTTCAATAACTATCCATGTGTTTTCTTTGAACAATGAAGAAATCACAGATGCTGTGTATGTTTGCAATTCTGAATTGCAGAATACTGTATTACAGCTCACAGATCACTGTCAATTACAGTATGCCCCATCCTATACGATGTGTCTCATCACTTCCAGGATGTGTGGAAAGGTTGATTGTGCAGAAACAATTGGAAAGAAATGACATTCAGAATTACCAAATACAGGATTAAAAATTGTTGTTCAAAGATTTAGTGAGGGTATCAGTTCAGGGAAGAAAATGAGTGCAGGTTCTTTGTTTTGTGATTCTAGCACTGATTGAATTAGTCTTATGTACCTTCACTTATTGCAGATTTTTTTAATGCTTTCAATTACAGTCATGTTTCACTAAAATCATTCTTCAGCATGCATGTTTGGCCAACAACACACTACAGAGATTGCTGAGTTTTCAGGGTTTTAACATGCGCAGCAGTTACCACTACTGCTCATTCATACAATATTCAGTTGCCCAAGTGTTTACAGTGCTTTCCTGTTTCATGTAATACAGGCTTGTGCTACATGTAAAAGTAATCCATATAGTCCATATGAAGGTGCCGCACTTTCTTTACATGGTCATTTCTGTGTATTATCAGTCATCAAAAGCAATTTTAGATCTTTTAATCAATCAAAGACTTCACTTTCCATTGATAACAGTGGAAATTGAATATTACTATTTTAAACTTCTAATATTTCACAAGGGAAAATGAAAACTGAAATACGGAAACACAAAATATGTTTATCCTAGTATATTGGCTTTCTGTCCTCTGAAGACTTGCCTGTTTTTAACTGGAAGGCCAGTTGAACTTCAGTTTCCTCAGAGACGAGATGTTATTCTTTTGGGACAGAAAGATCAAGCGCTACTTATCCTGGTTTATTTCCAGTGCAGTATTTCCCACCACTCCATCTTTAGTTGACTCTGCACTTATTTTTACACATCAGTTGTGTCCATCCTCCCTATTCAATCAAAACTTTTATCATTTTGGAGAGAATGATTTGAATACCAGTGTAAATAAGCGAGATGGTTGTACATCTGTAAAATGTCAGCCTTGCTTGTAAAACTGAAATATGAAGCAAACTCCTAAAACAAGATATTTGTATGCTTGTTAATGAGTAAGCACAAGATATGTCACTTTAGGTAATGCATTCCCTGTTTTCTTTTTGAAGAAGTCTGATAGTAAAATATCCTAGAGCCTTAAAGCAACAGCAGGACATGTGGTTCTAGATCCAGTTGTTCAGTGAGAATTATAAATGAAAAAAATTACCATGAGACTGTGCTATAAGCAGTTCATCTTAAAAATCAAGAGATTTATCTTTAATAATATTCATAAGAATAGTTTATTTTTAATACTAAGAACTACTGAGGAAATCTCTAAAGCTGATTGGCCTACTGCATCATAAAGAGGTTTATGTTATATTTGCCCTGCTCCTTAGCCTTTTTTGCTATTGAAAACTTTTGGAGGAAGGTTAATGCTGGTCTGAATGGCTCTTAGGCTGTTTTTTTTTGTTCTGTGGTTTTATGTTCTGACTTTTTTTCATATTCAAAGTGGATACTACAGATTCTCCTTCTACCTTGGAGTGTTTCTGCAAACTGTCTGTCTTCTCTTTTTGTAAATACAATATGCAGTTTCATTGCTGAAATTTTTGGAAGTTAGCTTAGTGGAAGCTTAATCTGGCATCTTGAACTCTACCTGTTACTATATTCTCATTGTTTTTTGTTTTTTGTTTTTTGGTTTTTTTTTAAATTGTGAGGTGTATGTAAGATGCACAGAATACATGCAGCTTGTGTGTGTATATCCATGATTGACTTCCTACCTTCCAGTAAATGTGTGTTTACGAAGACATGACACTTCTAACACATTCAAACGTGAGGGCAAGTGTGATGGTAGTGATTAGGTACATGAGTTTCTCTGTAGAAGAGAAATAGAAAATGGTACTTGACAAAAGAAGTATTAAGACCCAACCAGTGAATTCTGTAAGTAACATTCATCATCCCTTAACAAAGAGTGACTGTTGCTTGGGGCTGAAAGAGGTAATTATATGCTTAGGGAAAAAAGTTGGAGAGTTACAGTTGCTGTATAATAGTTCTCTCTGTTACATCATATCATAAATTCAGAAATGTTCCATCGCAATAGCACATACAATGTTCTTGTCTGGGGAAAAATATTTTTGGTACAAAACTTGCCTCAGGCTGTTGCCTTTTTTATGGTCATTGTATGGTTTTGCCTTAGCTGGCATTTATAGAATCGTAGAATTGTTCAGGTTGGAAAAGACCTTAAAGATCATCGAGTCCAACCTCAACCTGACCATACTGCCCTAACTCTAACAACCCTCTGCTAAATCATGTCCCTGAGCACCACATTCAAATGGCTTTTAAACACATTTAGGGATGGTGACTCAACCACCTCCCTGGGGAGCCTATTCCAGTGCTTAACAACCCTTTCTGTAAAGCAGTTTTTCCTGATACCCAACCTAAACTTACCCTGGTGCAACTTGAGGCCATTTCCCCTCATCCTGTCACCAGTGAGAAGAGACCAACCCCGCTCTCACTGTAAGCACCTTTCAGATAGTTGAAGAGAGCAATAAGGTCTCCCCTCAGCCTCCTTTTCCCTAGACTAAACAGCCCTTGTTCCTTCAGTCTCTCCTCATAGGGCATATTCTCCAAGCCCTTCACAAGCCTTGTTGCCCTTCTCTGGACCTACTCCATCATATCGGTGTCCTCTCTGTACTGAGGTGTCCAAAACTGAACACAGTACTTGAGGTGGTGCCTCACCAGTGCTGATTACAGGGGCAGGATGACTTCCCTAGTCCTACTCACCACACCATTCCTGATACAAGCCAGGATGACACTGGCATTCCTGGCCACCTGGTCACACTGCTGGCTCATATTCATCTGACTGTCTATCAGTATACCAAAAGTATATGTATTCTGCAAGTCACAGTTATCTGTTTGTATAGTCAATTCTGTTTGTATACTTTGCTTTTAAAAAGAGCCATCCAACACTTTCATTACTAGTTTGATACCAATATAAATTTAAAATTCTGTTTTACATCAGAGAGATTCTGCTGGATTCTCTTGAGTTTCCTCTGCACAAGACTTGTTTTTGTCTGGAATTCCAAGATTGCAGGCCTGTACATGTTCATCTACTGATATGATTGCTGACTGTTTCATTTGTCAAATCAGGAGCATACATTCTAAAAATATTTTTTTCTGGGAAATTCATGCCTACAGTATATACTTGGATGGAAGTTGAATGTGACAGAATTAACTACATGATATCAAGTAACTTGATGTCTTGCCTACAGATTCTTACTTTTCTTTCTTTTCTAACTTCTCCTAGCTGAACTTATTGTTAACCTTTCATTTTGACTGCAATACAGAAATTTGTGTAAGAAATGATTGTTTTAGCATAGCAGAGTCCCTTATCCCTTATCTGTCTATTCAAATAGCAGAGTGGACCTGAAAGCATGGAGTGCAGAGGAGGAAGGGAAGAAACAGCTGGTTATAAAGCAAAGGAAATGCACTTTTATTTGCAACTATTATTTTTTTCCTTGGCCAGGCAAAAGAACACCACGACAGTTGGGCTTCCTCTTTTATTGTTATTAAGCTTTGTTGCAGTACTGAGAACCCCCTCTTTCTCATTTCTGCCTCCTCATAACTGAGCAATTTGAACTGATTTTCATGATCCCATGGATCTCATTCTGCTGATCAGAAAGAAAGCATTTCCCTTGACGTTAAATTGACAGATGCTTGTGAGATTTTTTGTCTAAATTTTTGTTGTGTCCAGAGAGAAAAATAGGTTTTCAAAAAGTAATGTTACTGGAATACCTCCATGTGTTGCAGATTGTTAAGGTACAGCATTGAAAGACAGAGTAATAATCTTAGAAGTGTTCTCTGAAGTGTTATTCTTTTGAAGACAAACTCATTTATTAAGTCTTGCAGGCATGCATAGTTGTGACGTCAGTGATGTAAAATTATACATATTTAAAGTTGTAAGATCTCTGTTGTTGTCTTTGTATTGTCTTCTCTGGCCTAGGTTTGTGATTTGTCCTTCAGCCTGAAGAAAATGCTGATTCGACATAAGCTGACTCACAACCCCAATCGACCAATGGCAGAATGCCAGCTTTGCCACAAGAAGTTTACAAGAAATGACTACCTCAAAGTGCACATGGAAAATGTCCATGGTGAAACTGACAGCTAATTATGATGTGTGAGAAGAATGGATCTCATGTTCCAAAGTGTTCCACTTGTATGTGTACATACTCCAGACTTCTCACCTGACTAGTAGGCATAGTCAGGAGAAACAACTGTGTTCGCATGTTATTTTTCTCACTTTTTTATATGGTAGCAGGACAGAAAAAAAGGCAATCACTTGAAGGAAAATAAGAAGTTGAAAATAAGAATTTGAAGAGACAGTTTAAAAGAAACAAACTAAAAAATCCAACCAGCTCTAAATAAATTTTGCTTTCTCAGCTCCTGCCTTAGAAACCTAGATATTAGTGATGCTGCCTGGAAAGCTTGGACATTTCAACCCCTGGCTGTCTGCAACTATTTCTATATCTAAGCTTCACGCTCCATTACAAATCTTAAAGTGGAAGCCAGACAGAATTTGTCTATGTGATTGATTGCTGATTCTATTCAGGCATATTTTATTCAATTCTTATAATGCCGCATTTTATTGTGACATGACTTTATCTCACTTTATTTACAGCTTTCTTATTACTAGATGGAACTGATTAACTTGAATTGATTCTTGAGATGTCAGGATGTATGGACATAGAAACTGTGGAAATCTGTCAACTTAGGTTCTAGACAATGACAGAAATGCTTGTGGTTGCGTGTAACATGACAGAAGTAAAAAAAATAAATAAACAATTTAGTTCAACTATTATATTCATACTCACCACTGTAACTGGCAAGGTAAGTGGAAAGACTTCCTGAGTGAGTGGCTTGAGCAGCTCCAGCTGTCTGGTTAATATGTATTTGATTTTCTGGTGAACAGCTGGTTCCCAGTCTTTCCTACTGCTAAATCAGATGCCCTTGTTTTCTTCATCCCATTTAACTACCTTTGTTTTGTTAATCTTGTTAATGAGTCATGGGAGAAATAAACCTAGGTAACAAAATGAAATTCTCCCAAATATCACATTGAGTTGTTCACTGGAGTAAAACTCTGGAAAAGAATTGCTGCAGGTCTTCTTTATATCACATCTAGATAACTAAGAAATTGTTATCTACAAGAGTGGAAAAAATGTAACTTCAGAGAGTGACTGGATTTGAAAATCCTGAGATATCAGCAGTTAATATTAAGACTGTCACTGGCCAATTTTTCGTATTTATTTTAGACAATGTTTTATAAAATGAACTAGTGTTGAAACACCCTGGTTCTAGTTTTTATGGGAAGAGAGTTCAGGTTTTCTGAACTGCAGTGGGAACAACTGAATGAACAGCATGATTTTTTTTTTTTTAATCTCTCTTCTCAGATCTGTCTTTTGTGATAGATTTTTCAACCACCACAGCACCAGCACAGAAATAGCAATAGATCTTTCCTGAGCTACATGTGACCAGTTTGGCTTTAATGAGTTACCTGCAAGGTTTCTGCTGGCAATGGTGTGATCTTTAGCTGAATCTGCAAATTTGAAATTAGAACCATGTCCCCTACATATTTAAAAGGAATAAGGCATAGTTAGGCAATAGGCGTAGTCTGCCAGACTGTATTGTAAGTGTGTAAAATAATCCATGGCATTTACATACTGAGATAAATTCATATGAAGAGGGTTCTGAAAGAGAATTGCATGTGAAGAACAGTTAATATTCTGTTGTTCCTTAACATACCAGTTCAGTGTAGAACAAGTTGCATAGATGTCATGCTGGTGTGTGAGAGAAAGTTGTAACACTACATATATGTGTTATGTAATCTTGTGTCATGTTATAATCTCTACTGTGTAAAGTTATAAAGTCTCTGTTCTTTTTAACTTCAATTAAATGTAGAACTTTTTTTCCTGTGTTTTAGTCGTTTTTCAGAATATTAGTTCTGAAGACAAACTGCATGGCTAATACTTCACAAATTAAAATTATTCAGTAACACTTCACTATTTTGTTCCATTCGACTTGTGTATTTAAAATGCATATACTTAATTGATTCTGATTGTTTAGGATTCCTGCAGACTTTAAAGAAGTGCGATTATAAAGATTTACTACTTTGCATCTCCGATCTGTGTGTGAAAATATACAAAGTCCTCTTTCTTCCCTTTTTGGTACTTGTGAGTTATATGAAAATTGGAGTCTTTGATAGTTCTATATAAATGCTTTTCCATATAAATCAAATATGTTGTACACATCTAAGATTAATACAATAGAAACAGTTATTACCAGGCTGATTGAAAAATACTTCTCAACTTATTTGAGAATGTTATTTTTATCAGACTTGTAAGTCCAGAGAAATTTAATTTATTCTTGCAGTTATAAAAAATCATGTAGTTAACCTGTTCAGACAGCAGAATCAATATCAAATACTGAGATGTCTGACAACGTATTTGAGGCTTTTAATTTAACTGTTATTAATGATCTGCAAAGATGATTAATGTGGCTGGGATAGGAGGACATCACAAAGGAGACTTCTCTTTTTTTGTTTTGCCTTTTTGACAAAAATAAAATCAAGAATTAAATCTCATAAAAATAAGCAGATTTTTAAAATATTTTTCTTCCTTTACATTTTTTCTTCCCTGTAGTCAGTGCAAACTAAAGCACAGGGAATAGCAGAAGAAAATAAGAAAAAAAAAAAAAAAAAAAAAAGAGTTTAAAGTTTTTCTAAACAGTTTTTAAGTGACTACACTAAAGAAACACTAAGAAGAGAATCACCTTGCAAAAAGAAAAAAAATCTTAGCTAATCTTAGAATCTTAGCTAATTACTGAAAGTCGGTGGATGAAAATGATAAGTTACTCATTTTGCTGCTGGGAAAATTACCTTATATGTATTAGTAGTAATCATGTGTTTACTCAATAGCAGCAGCTAACTGACTGGAGTACTGATCTTCTTAATGCTTTCAGTGCTTCATGGAAAAGACAGATAGGCGCAGCAGCCCAGTTCCACCTCATAGCTGTAGTTGTGTAAGAAGACAAGGATCTTCCCTTGTGGACCAAGGTGGTTACAAATCTGCCTGAGCCCCTACAGAACCAGCACCTGGCTCAGCTAGGAACTGCCCTGTTCTTTCCACGAGGTGCTTGTGTTTCATGCAGAAGGTAATATGATCTCGGTGAATTCATGGTGTTGAACTGTATAATGGAGTTTATATGCAATGCAGACTTACCTTTGTATATTTCTACTCGGTCATACCTTTCTTATGCAAATAAACAAAAATAAAACATGAAAAACCTCAAACTTTTTCCTTTGAGTAAAAATCTTCAATTGGCAAATATTCCCCTCAGGTGATTTTGAGAAGTGAGAAATTGAAATATTTTGGTTTAAAGGTAATTGTTGATTTTTTTTGTGTATGTGTTCATATGTTCATTTTGCTTTGTTAACTGTTGTTGCAACACAACAGAAAAAATCATCATTAATTAAAATATTGACTCCTCCACAGTGAGCTGTATAATGCAGACCGATATGAAGAGTTAGGAATCCTCCCGAAAAAACAAGTGCCACTGTTATTTTAGAAGGCTGTGTTTTCTTTTTATTGCCTGGTTTTCTCCAGATCATGACATTGAATTTGTTCTCTTTATTTTTCTATTGCAGTTAACATTGAGAAAGTTCCATCTCTAATGTTGGGAACAGCAGCAAACTCCTTCCTTTGCTTTCCAGTCTGATCAGATGTACAGCCAGAAGCTGGTACAAATCTTTAACATGATAATAACAGCAAACACAAAAGATATTTGTAATTCTTTTTGTCTGTAAGATTTTCAAAATTTTGATGGATCCTTCATGCCAACAAGTTCTAATTCAAAATCAGAAAGAGGAAGAAATACGGTAAGTTAATAAATGTATTCTGGATGATTTTGTTGTTGTGTTTAAATGTTTTTAACACATTTAAATGTTTAAATGTGTTTAAACAGACATAGTATTTTCAAAGCATTTTATGTGTTCTGCAGCAAAACTTGTGGTTCTGTTACAATAATATAGATTTCTGGTCTGTGTTCTAACTTGTGACCTTTAATATTCTGCATTTGCATCAATATGTACCAATGCCATTATTCTTCAAAGACCTCTTACTGTAGTTTATTTTAACTTAGAGCTATTTGCAGTGCATAACAATGACATTTTATGGAGCTGATGACATAATATGCAATTATATAAATTATTCTCAGAGTCTGAAGAAATAAGACTATTTTGTCACTTGTTTATACTGCTAGATTCACCAACTCAATTTGTATTTCCTGCAAAAACAAACAAAGAAACAAACAAACAAAAAACTATAATCAGCTCTACCCAGTTAGCTCTACTCTCTGCCTCCTTTCCTCCATCTCACCAGTGCTTTCAGTGAGTGTGCGAGTTATAGGGAAGAAAGTCTAAGAGTATTTCAACCTAGGAAAAACATTTTGATCTACTGAGATGTTTTTCCTTCCTGAAGGCTGGGAAAAATAAAGGAATTCTGAATCCAAACCAGAAATTGATTTATTTTCTTTTATTGCTTTACATTAAAAGAGGGGAGAATATTCTTTTGCTGTCTGCCTTGTGGCAGCTTATGAAGAAACTCACTGTGTTGAATGATTTCTGCTCTAAGTAGTTGTGATCTGGTAGTCCAGCCTGGAGTTTAAATGCTGATGTATAAACCATGCCTTCTCTGCAAAATATAGTCTGAGATCCACTGATCTCTTGTGTGTGGCTTAGATACCATTCACAAATGGATCTGTCTGTTGTTTGGCAGCAACTCATAGCAAGTTCAGTTTAGAAGACACAGTGTAATCAGACCCTCTGAACAGTCACTTTTAGAGTTCAAGTGATATTAAAGTGTTACAAATGCAGTTACATAAATATTTGTGGCATAACTGAACTGTTTATCAGTGACAACCTTTCAGATGTTGCTTTGCATCCCTAAGTTATTCCATCTTCTCAATGTGCCTTGGTATATACAAAAGACTAAAATAATTTGACAAAATTGAAATGTGTTCAGTGAATACAGCTCTACAGCTCTAACTCCTACCATATTCTAAGCTATAACTAGCCTGACAGAGCTGGCTTCATGACTATCCATTATTAACATTATATAGCCAAAAGTCTCTCTGTTAGAGAGAATGATACCTGGCCACAGTATTACCAATCACCTTTGGCCAGCAGAAGACAGTGTTTGTATTTCTTCATCTCTGAAAACATCTATTTAATGCTTTGGAACACTAGCACCCTCCATCTGCAACAGTCAGGCAAGTGAATGTAAGAGTGTGCACACTTA